AAGGAGCTTCGCTTGAGCGTGACTTCTTTCGCTCGAGCGGACTGCAAACTACATGAAAAGTACTGGATGCATGCAATTCACGCTCGACGGACACTTGACCTCTGCTCGAGCGTGAGACTCAGATCCTCGCTCGAGCGTGAACTCTCTCGCTTGAGCAGATTGTAAAAACACATGAACTTCTGGGCATATGCATTTCATGCTCGAGCGTGACATTTCATGCTCGAGCGTGACTTTCCACGCTCGAGCAGAGATGCACGACTCAGAGTGTACGCTCGAGCGTGAAGTCCTATGCTCGAGCATGGGTCCAAAATCTGAAATTTTCAGATTGAACCTTAAGCATGAAATTCAACTTTTAAATGTTCAAATTCGATCCCCTTGGGCTAATTTTCTGAAAAACACTTGAAAACCCGTAGTATAACATGTTTCAAAGATCAATTTGTAAAATCAAAGCCCATAGGTAAGTCAATTGAACACCATTTCAAAGAAGTTTTTCATGAAAAATGTAAAAACATAACATGCATGGACTTTTAAGAACTCTAGTGTCTCAAAACGTGATCCAATGCAAGATTAAGCTCAAAACTATGGTGAATTCAAGGACTATAACATAAACATGAACATGCATGTGGAAATTCATGAAGAACAACCTCAAAATGCAAGAATATGTACATGCATGCATGAATTCACCCTCAAATTCAACTCTTTAAACCAATTCTTGACTTTAAACTCTAAATTACCATGAATCATGCAAGATACAACTCAAATTCACAAATGAGAGGATGAAATCTCCACCTTAGGTCTTGAATTCAAGGTATGATAGCTCAAATGTGCAATTCTCTTTCAAATCATCTACGTTTCAAGCCAATCTAGATGATCTCAAGCTCTTTCTCTCACTCTCCTCTCTCCTATGGTTTGTCTAAGGAAATGGCTGAAGGAATGGTGCCTCCAATACATAAATTAAGTCCCAAACAAGTTTTGTAGGAAATGGCCACTCAATGGAAAAATTGTAATAAACTCAATCCAATGTAAATTATCATTATTTAATCTAATTAATCATACCAAAATACATTTCAATTTAAATCCGCCATAAAATCACATAAATCCTAATTAGCATAAAATACCCATCAATTTCAGATTCGGTCGCCGACAAGGCTTTCAATTCGCAATTCGAAATTAAAACACGAACAGATCATTTAGTAGTCAAACAGATAGAAATGCATTTACAGACAATAGACTCATGCAATCAGTTTAGGATTTCCTCCTAATCAGTTACTTATCATATTCAGTCACAGTTTAGCAGTAATCAGAGGTGAGGGTTGTCACAGATTCAGTTAGAGTTGAACCTCTTTTGAACCTGTTCGGGTGGGTCTGAATCTGTTTGGGATTTGTTTGGGTGAAAGTAAAATTCTGGACCAATTTATTTTGAATTTTGAAAACAAAATAAAAAATAAATAAGCCCAACCGACTGGACAGACGGCGGCGGCAACGTGTGTGCGGTTTTAATTTTGAGTCTAATAGGTCTAGCCCACTTCACCTATAATCTCACCCTTTCACAAACTTGGGTACCCCTTGTGGCCTATCCAAAGTATCTCAAGTTAAGGTATATAAACCTATTCAAAATCTCAAGCCTTTCTAATGTGGGACAAGCACATTTTACAAATCTGTAAGAAACCCACAAAAAACTAGTTTTACGAACCCAAAAACGTGTGTTGAATTCTCATTCATTCGGAAATGATTTTGAGCAACTAAATACATGAATTTATTCACTACGAGATATTAAATATGAACTCAATTAGAAAAGTTAAAAATAACGCTTAGGTTCCACCTTAATTAATACTTAAAGTTAGCAAAAAATAAGGTAATACAAAAGCCATTTTCCAACAGTGAATTGGTGAAAGAATGACCATTTTGAAAACTGTTTTCTATATCCGTTGTTGTATGAATTTGAAATGTGGAAGTTGTGATCCGAGTTCATTTTTGCATTGTACAAGTTGTTACTTAAATCCCCTGTGTTTGAATATGGAATATCATCAACGAATATAAATGAAGCTAAAGCCCTACATGAATAATGGGAGATCATACAAAATAAATTGAGACTTAACAAAGTTAAGTAAACTGTTGCGAGACAAGATGTGAAAGAAATAAAATGTACTGAATTTTTAACATTTATTTAAAAGAATTGACATTCGTACCCTACACTTCGACAATTTGATCCAACTAAAATATTTAACAAAACATCTTCTATCTCTGTATGAACGAATTTATAATTGTGCGATTATATCTCAAGATTTCTATTACACGGTGTGATTGAGAATTTATTAAAACATAAAAATTAAAAGAATTTGAAGATGAGAAATTATGAACCAAAATTAAGTCCCTAATGATCATTTATTAGCTGTTCTTCAAGATTTGAATAATATAAGAAAAAGTTAATAATTTAATACATATTTTCATATGTTTTTTTTTTATATATATTTTTAATATAACTATTATACTTGTATCAATGTAAATTAGGAGTGGTCGCGGATCGGTTTTGGATAGTTCAGTTTGCGGTTTGGACCCGCGTGTATGTTTGCGGTTTGGGAAAAATTGAGCCCGCAACCACCTGTAGTGCGGGTTGCGGTTTATCCGGATAGAGTTTGCGGATATGCGGGGCGGTTGTAGACGGTTTGCGAATTAGACTATTTTTTTGCGAATTAGACTTTTTTTTTGAAAAGCAAAATTGGGTCCTATTTTCCCCTACTTTAGAATATCAATAATTAATGAATTAAAACTTATAAAATTACAAACACAACAAAATCAATTTCTAACATAAGCAAAACATTCAAACTAACATTGAAATTGGATTAGAAAAAATTATAATAAAAATTAAATAAGAACTAACATAGAAAATATCCTCCATAGTAACGGTTAAGTATAGGGTAAATTACATTTACCTCCCCTGAGGTTTCTGACAAATACAGAGACCTCCCATGTGGTTTGAATAATTACAGTTACCTCCCTTACTTTACCTGACAATGTCAAGATTCTCCCAATCCGCTAATTTTGCACAAACGACGTTACTTGATTATACAAAATGACCATATTGCCCTTTCATTTGAATACAAAAAGACCAAAATACCCTTTAATTCCTATATCTCTCGTACATATCTCACTAACATCATGCTCTGTCCCCATCTCTCTTTCATCTTACCTCCTCTCTCTTACCTATAATCTCTCCAACCAATACAACTGCCTCCGGCGATCCCAAAGCCCACCGGCGATTATTCTCCTCAATAGCTTGTGCAAAAATTAGTATATATTTTCAATTTCTTCCATTCTAGTTCTAGGGTTTTGAAGCTCCTATACCAGTTAGGGTTTTCAGAGAGAGAGAGAAATGGTTAGCCACCGACAACCTCCTCCTCTGCAACGACTGCGACTGGGACGCCCACAGCAGCTGCTTCGTCTCTGCCTCACACGATCGCAACCCTATCGAGGGTCTCTCAGCATCTCCCTCTCCTCTCGAGCTCGCTTCAGTTTGGGGTGTCGTCTCCGCCTCCTCCTTCAATATTGAAGCCGCCGCTGCCGCCACGCTAGGCCGTTTCTCCTCCTCCTCCGACGAACCTTCCCTCAAAATAGTGGGCTTTTGGGTTTAGTTTCTTGTTTTATTTTTTTTTCTGGAGAATCTCTATTTGTGTAAATGCAAAGGAAGCCAGAGACCCATCTGGTGGTTCGGTGTTGGTGATGATTTGACCTTTTTGGCGACCTTTTCTGGTTTTTTTTTCTAAAGATTTCTCAACACATACATTAATTTCGAGAATTACCCAGGTGAGAAATCACTCATGTTTACTCTGTTTCACTTCTTCAAATTCATTATGAGTACATATATATATATATATATATAAGTTTTGTTCATGATTGAATTAGAAAAAGGTCAAGACTTTGATCATTCAAATGGGGAACATGGGTGTGGAAGAGTCAAGACAAATTCAGAGAGAAGACTCGGAAGAGGGGGCAAATGAGGCGGTGCGGGAGGAAGACATAAAGAGAACTCTGCCGTGGAGAAAACAGATCACAATCAGAGGAATTATAGCAAGCTTACTGATTGGGATAAGTAATTATAAGGAATTATAAGGAAAGGTCACCTGTGTGTACACATATATATAATGAGTGAGAAATCTTTATATGTATACATAAATATCTTATATATATGTATACATATATAAGAAGGTGGATTAGAAGGCAGGACAGGAGTTGAATGGTGAATTAGAAGGCAGTGAGGCTGTAGAAAGATGAATTAGAACGCAATGAGGGTATTTTGGACATTTCATAATTTATAATGAGTGACATCAGCACTTTCTGTTAGATCTTCTAACGACAGTCACAGTTTGGGAGAATCTTGACATTGTCAGGTAAAGTAGGGGAGGTTACTGTAATTATTCAAACCACAAGGGAGGTCCCTGTATTTGTCAGAAACCTTAGGGGAGGTAAATGTAATTTACCCAAGTTTTTGACTTATTTTGAGAAGTTGGCTAAAAATTGATTTTTTTATCTTTTATTTATTTTTTTTGACTTTTTTTTTAAAAAAAAAAGTTTCAAAAAAGATAAAGATATGATGATAAAAAAAAGAAAAAAAAGAAGAAGTAATGAGTTGCCTTTTAAGCTTATTCCCAAGGAAAATGATTGGTGGTCCTAAAAAAGTTGTCCCTAATATCCCTAATTTTCAATTTTGGAAACTGTTTTTTTTTTCTTTCTTTTTTCCTTTTTTTTTTTTTTTTTTACCTAAAATGGAATTTCGGGGCATTCGAGCCCCGAAGTCTCGGGCCCTCAATCACTTCCGTATTCCCAAAAGAAAAATGTTTGGGAGCTCTAAATTTGGAGCACTAAAGGAGCTCTAGAGAGTGGTCCCACTGACTGATGTGATGTTTTAGCCTTAAGTTTTTTTTTTTCTTTTTTTTTTTGAATTTCCACCTCATTAGTGATCCATTAGTGCTCCCAAATTAGTGGGATGTATCATTCTTGTTCCCAAAATAGGCCACAGGATTTTGTCTTGCCACAGAAGGGGAAAAACGACCCCAATCGACATCAGCAATTGCACAAACACCTGTTTGGACGACGAGAAAATCAAATGGGTGCGGAAGAGGAAAGTCAAGAAGCAAACCGGATATCAGGGCCCAACCATAATCCTAATCCTAACCCTAACCCTAACCCCAACCCCAACCCCAATCCCATGACGCAGGGTCAGTTTCTCTCCTGGAAACGCCAGAAGGTCCTCTCTCTCTCTCTCTCTCTCTCTCTAACTTTTCTAGGGTTACTTAGTCGACTAAATACTCGATTTTGTTATATTAACACTATTAATTTTCTAATTCATGAATTATTTCAAGTAGTTTGGGTTGTTTTTTTCCTTCAATTTGCTTGATACGTGTGAGGGATTATTAGGAAATTAAAGCATTAAAACCGGTGATTAGGAAATTAAAGCTGATAAACTAGTTGTTATGCTTGTACAAGAATGTAATATTTATATCTAGTGGTTTCTATAAAGTCAGTGAGACTTTCACATGCCCAGTGGGCATATGATGTGGTTGAACAAATGAAAAGACATAAACCTACAAGAATTATGTTCATCTGGCGAAGGAATTTCCGAATGTTGAACAAAAAAATAACTACAAAATTCACAAACATGAATCCCTTTTCTGCACCAGTTTAGTAGTCTGGCATATGATTTTTCGATCATGTTGGCGTTGCGATAATGGCATGTTTATCTGCAAACACCATTACTTGAACATGTTATTTAAATTTGTAACTACCCATTGGGTTGGGCTGGCATGATGATGCAAATGCTACCAACTGCAACTAGAATATCAAGGATGCTGGGATTTTGATATTGTGTGATCTCACTTCATCCTTTGAGGTTAGGTCATTGTTTGTTTGGGTGAATAAGGTTAGGTCATTGTTGGCTTCCCCCATGTTACATGGACTGGTTATATGTGTTGTTACTTGTATGTGGGTATGTGTGTAAGTGTACAATTCATGTAATTTTCATGTCCAATGACTTGGGGACAACACCAGCTAGAATGACATGGAGGTAAATGGCATTGTCCATTCTGTCTGGGCACTTTAGCAGACAAGTGTGGGACTCGTGGAAAACAATGTTTGGTAAAGGAAATCTCATTTTCCGAAGACAGAGTTTACCGGTGTTGTAAATGTAGCTAAGTTCTTATGAGAATACCTATGATGTAAATGTAAAATTTACGACTTACTGACTTACTTTTCTAGCATTTTGTTTGAGTTTTTCTTCATTTAGTGGGATTTGACAAAGTTGTAAACCCTTGTATTGTTCTGGGAGAGTAGAAGTACTTGACAATTGTCAAGAAAGAAAGAAGACATGAACTGAACAGAACCTAGCCCAACTGGGAAACTGACCTTCTATATGACAATAATATTATTAAATAAAAAAGAAAGAGATTCTAGGCAATAATCAAAATCTTCAATTTCAACGTAAAGTGTGTTTTACAATTTTTTTTCCATGTGGTCTCTTAATAAATCCGGAGTTCATGTAATCAAAGCATTTTCTGCTATGTGATTTTATTTTTTTATTTCAACCTGCCTGGACATTGTATGCATAGTTGTAAAATCGGGATTCGAATCGTGAATCGAAATGATCTTGTACTGAATCGCGAATCGAATCAAATCGAATCGTGAATCGTAAAGATTCGGTTACTTTTTCTCTAAGAAGCGCGGACACTTCTAAGAAGGTGACGTATCCGTGTCGTGTCCGTGTCAGACACCGACACTCTTTGGACACTCTTAGGACACGTGTCCGACACTCTTCAAAACGTGTCCTATGTTTTAAATATTTTTAAAGAACCGGACACTCTTTGGACACTTGGAGGACACATGTGTCAATTGTTTAAACACATGTGTCTATTGATTATAGATATGTAAAACTAATTATAAGTTTGAACAAAACAACTTAAGATACAATAATAAAATAAAAACCATATAAATTTATAGGAAATAGTGCTTTATTGCATTTTTTATTATCTTTGAATGATATATTCATATATATAACATATAATAAATATATAAAATTATATATTTCATGCGTGTCCTCCACGTGTCGTGTCCTGCATTTTTTTAAAATTAACGTGTTGGCGTGTCCGTGTCGTGTTCGTGTCGTGTCACGTGTCCGTGTCCATGCTTCTTAGCTTTTTCTAAATTACTTGGAAAAATATATCTACATACTTGGATGAATATATCTACATACTTGGATGTTAAATATATCTTATGAATATGAAATATTTAAACTTAAATTAATGAAAATATTGTTTTGAATTATGATTATGTAGTTCAATAGGTAAGAAGTTAACAATGGTTTCTATGTAAGAACACCATCTTACCTTTTTCCTTTTTTAGATATTTTTTGTCAACCATTCTTAATAAAGACAGTAAATAAAGACAAATTTTCAATTTTCAAAATGACAATAATTTGACAACGATATTAATATTGGGACAATAAGCATACATATTTTTTTTCAAATAATAATGACCAAATAATAAGAAAGTATTATTTAGGATTTTTTATTTTAAAGTCTAAAACATTTTAAAATGTATAATTGACCTTGCCTATGTAATATGCAACTATATTTAATTTAATAAAATAGCAATAGATAATTCATGGTATAAGTTATTTTAATCTTAAATATCTTTAGAAGATATATTATGATTATTTAAAGGAAAAAAAAAAAAGAATACAGGTTAAAAGCATGTTGGGTCTGATTGAATTTGATTGGATCTTATTAAAAATTCCATGATTACTAAAATAACAAAAATCTGATAAATTTCAAAAAATACCAGATTAGGGAATGATTAGGATATCATCTCCTATTTATATTGATGAAGATTAATAATTACAAGGGAGCATTAAGGCGTAGAATAATTACAAAATAATAACCCAACTAAGATTATTCTAACATTCCCCCTCAAGCTGGTGCGAAGATATCTCTCATGCCCAACTTGCCTAAGATATCATGAAATGACTTACTCCCAACTCCTTTGGTGAGAATGTCAGCAAGTTGTTCACCAGACTGCACAAAGGGAGTACATATTGTGCCACTAGTGAGTTTCTCCTTAATGAAGTGGCGATCAATCTCAACATGCTTTGTCCGGTCATGTTGAATCGGATTGTGAGCGATGTTGATAGCGGCCTAATTATCACAATATAACCGCATGGAGTCTGTTTGATCAATTCCTTGATCACTCAACAATAACTTGATCCATAAGAGCTCACACACCCCATGGGTCATAGCTCTAAACTCAGCTTCTGCACTTGACCTGTTAACCACATTCTGTTTCTTACTCCTCCAAGTAACTAGATTGCCGCCAACAAAGGTGCAATACCCTGAAGTCAATCTCCTCTCAGTCACTAATCCAGCCCAGTCAGCATCTGTATAGGCTTCCACACGAAGATGATCATACTTTGAAAAATAAAAACCCTTACCAGGAGCACATTTCAAGTGCCTCAAAATTCTCATGACAGCCTCGAAGTGAATCTGATGAGGAGCATGTATAAACTGGCTAACCACACTGATAGCAATGTCAATATCAGGACGAGAGTGAGATAGGTAAATGAGCTTACTTACTAATCGTTGATAGCTCCCCCTATTAACCCTATCAACAGCTGCTCCTCCTTCATTATCCCCCAGTTTCTGATTGGGTTCCAATGGAGTGTCACATGCCTTGCAGTCAAGCATCTCGGTTTCCTTCAATAGATCAAGTACATACTTCCTCTGTGAGATAAATATCCCATCCTTGGAGCGAGCAACTTTAATTCCCAAAAAATACTTCAAGCTTCCCAAGTCTTTGATTTCAAACTCATTGGATAAATATTTCTTCAACAGAGGCATTTCCTCACTATCATCGCCCGTAAAAACTATGTCATCTACAAAAACAATGAGTGTTGTAGTCTTACCACTTGAGGAATGTTTCACGAACAAGGTGTGATCTGCCTAACTCTGTTTGAAGCCATATTTAAGCATAGCTTGAATGAATCTCTCAAACCAAGCCCTTGGAGACTGTTTGAGACCATATAATGATTTCCGTAGCCTGCATACTTTGCCTTCTGTCTAATAATCCTCAAAACCAGGAGGAATATCCATATATTCCTCTTTTTTGAGGTCACCATGGAGAAAGGCATTCTTTACATCAAACTGATGAAGTGGCCAATCTAGATTAGCTACTAAAGAGAGAAGTACTCTGACTGAATTCATCTTAGCCACGGGTGCAAAGGTCTCCTGATGGTCAACCCCATAAGTCTGAGTGAAGCCTTTTGCCACAAGTCTAGCCTTGTAACGCTCAATAGAACCATCTGTTTTGTGTTTTACAGTATACACCCATTTGCATCCCACAGGTCGTTTGCCCTTAGGTAACTCAGTCAATTCCCAGGTGTCATTCTTCCTAAGGGTTTTCATTTCCTCAATCATGGCAAGTTTCCACTCAGAGATAGCAAGTGCATCCTGAAAATGGTTAGGAATGCTAATAGAGGAAATATTTGACACAAATGCTCTATATGAGGACGACAAATGAGAGTAGGATACAAAATTGGATATAGGATGTTGAGTACAAGATCTCACATCCTTTCTCTTGGCAATAGGAACATCAAGATCAATGGACTTAAGAGATTCAAAGTTACCTGAACTCTCATCAGAAGCAGGAGATGGCAATGTGTGAGCAGAAGTAGTCTCTTGTATCCTGTTAACTTTCTGCCTGTCTATCTTTGTCCCTGATATAAATTTGCCCTTCCCTATCCTTGGGGATATTGGGTTTTGTAGTCCCAGTAAGAGGTGGTGGTGCAAGAACAACTGGTTCCACCATAGGAATCACAGGCTTTACATCAAACTGATGAAGTGGCCAATCTAGATTAGCTACTAAAGAGAGAAGTACTCTGACTGAATTCATTTTAGCCACGGGTGCAAGGTCTCTTGATGGTCAACCCCATAAGTCTGAGTGAAGCCTTTTGCCACAAGTCTAGGCTTGTAACGCTCAATAGAACCATCTGTTTTGTGTTTTACAATATACACTTATTTGCATCCCACAGGTCGTTTGCCCTTAGATAACTCAGTCAATTCCCAGGTGTCATTCTTCCTAAGGGCTTTCATTTCCTCAATCATGGCAAGTTTCTACTCAGAGATGGCAAGAGCATCCTGAAAATGGTTAGGAATGCTAACAGAGGAAATATTTGACACAAACGCTCTATATGAGGACGACAAATGAGAGTAGGACACAAAATTGGAGATAGGAATTGGAGATAGGATGTTGAGTACAAGATTTCACATCATTTCTCTTGGCAATAGGAACATCAAGATCAATGGACTTAAGAGATTTAAAGTTACCTGAACTCTCATCAGAAGCAGGAGATGGTAGTGGAGGAGCAGAAGTGGTTTCTTGTATCCATTTAACTTTCTGTCGGTCTTTATTCCTGATATAAACTTGCCTTTCCTTATCCTTGGTGACATTGGGTTCTGTAGTTCCAATAGAAGGTGGTGGTGCAAGAACCACTGGTTCCACCATAGGAATCACAGGAATCACTTCACACCAAGGCTCCCCTTGAAGGGAGGACTGTGACACCGGAGAAGACAAGAAATAGGACTGAGACTCAAAGAATGTGACATCCATGGACACAAACCACTTATGAGAAAGAGGGTGGTAACACTTATACCCTTTTTGAGTAGGAGAGTACCCAAGGAAAACCCATTTGAGGGAGCGAGGGTCTAGCTTTCCACGAGTAGGAGAGTGGTTGTGGACAAAACAGACACAACCAAATATTTTAGGAGGAATAGAAAACAAGGACTCGGAACCTAGGAGGACTTGAAGGGGAGTTTGTTTTTGCAAGACCTGGGTAGGAAGACGATTGATAAGATGGGCAGCGGTGAGAACAGCGTCGCCTCAGTAGGACCGAGGTACACTCATAGAAAAACACATGCATCGAGCCATGTCAAGAAGATGGCGATTCTTGCGTTCTGCCACCACATTTTGTTGAGGGGTATTAGTGCAAGAGGTCTGATGGATAATGCCATGGGTAGAAAAATATTGCCCTAACCTAGAAATGGAAGAAACAGTACCATCTGCAATCCTAACTTTGTCCTGACCTGAAGAGGGCTTATAGGTAGAGAAAAGATCAGAGGAGCCATACATATGATCTGAGGCACCAGAATCAATAATCCAGGGCAAAGACTTATGAGACAGAAAAACACAAGGGGAAGAGGCTAAGTTATCTGAGCGGGCAAACGACGAGGAAGATGTACCGAGAGCAGTAGAAGACCGTCGGTCTAGCAAGTGATGCAGAACATCCTCAAGCTTAGGAGTAGTCATGCCACAGAGACCATCAGAAGCGTGGCCAATGGAAGCGGAAGTAGCATCAAGTGCATCCACAATACTAGATTGATGAGCCCGTGAATGGGAGCCACGTCCTCGAGATTGGCCTGATCGACCTCTAGAACCAGACCGATCACTGCAACCCCCGGATGGAGGCCCATGAAGCTTCCAACACGTCCCACGAGTATGCCGCGACTTTTTACAGTGATCACAAAATACAGACTCCTTGGCGGTAGACGGAGGAATGGGAGTCATGCTGAGGCCATCTCGAAGGGTAGACAGTAATACTGAGCGGTCAGTAGAGACTGGGGACATCATAGCAGACCGGTGACTCTCCTTATTCTGTACATAGGCAAATGCCTCCTGAAGTGAAGGAAGAGTGTCCATACCCAGAACTCAACTCCTAATTGGATCATACTTCACATTGAGGCCTGCTAGAAACTTGAAGACTCGTTCCTGTGCAATTAACTTCTTGTACCCGACTGAATCAGTAGTGCAAACAGGCTTATAGTCCTGCAGGTGATTAAGGCGTTTCCAGCTGTTGGTGAAGAAGGTGAAGTACTGAAGAATCGTCTGCTCCCCCTGAATAGAGCTCTCAATAGAGCGGCGTAACTCAAATGTCTGTAAGAAATTCTCTTTACGGGAATAGGTGGTAGTCACAGCATTCCAAACATCCTGGGCCGTCTCCATAGATAAGTAGCCCTCGCTAATGTCCGGTACCATTGAATGAATAAGCTAACCCATAATCAAAGAGTTGATAATCTCCCATTGGTCATAACCCGGGTCAGTTGTGCTGGGTGCCTGTATCCTGCCATCCATATACCCCATCTTCCCTCTACTCTTCAGAAACATAGTCAAACTCTGCCACTACGCGAGATAGGTCTGACCATTAAATAGAGAGATTGTGATTTTAAGACTAGGGTTGGGGTTTTCAGTCATAGTAGTAGGTATAAGGAGACTTTCACTCCTAGGTGTCTAAGAAGTAGTGGACACATCGGAAGAATCTGCCATAGGTACTGTACTATTGAACCCGTAACAAAACTAGTGCCAATCACAAATTTGGTAGAGGATGGTGGAAGGGAAAAACAAACACAACGATCACTAGGGCAATATAAAGAGTGAACAACTCATATATATATATATATATTTTTTTTTTCTGTGTGTTTTTTTTTTTTGGAAGAAAAGAGAAGTAAAATAAAAGATAAATAAATAACTCAAGAAAGCGAGACAGACAGGCGACAAAGAACCAGAGGCCGTCGGCAAAAGACAGATAGAGGAAGACGACGAAGAACTAGAAGCAGGCGACACATGAGTCGAGCAGAGAGAGAGGCGAGGCAGTCGACTGAAGCCAACGAAGGCTTAGCAGCTGTCGGCTGGGTCATCCAGTGGTCGACGAAGACAATGAAGATGATCTGAGGGTGATTCAATGGTCCACGTTCATGCACCAGGTGATTTCTGAACCCTAGGTGAGCCGAAATCCCTCAGGTGTGAGCCGAAACCCCTCAGGCTTGAGCCGAAATCCCTCACGCTTGAGCCGGCTTGAGCCGAAACCCCTCAAGCTTATTGCTGAAGTGGGTTGTCTTTGGCGGCGGTTGGTGGCTCCGGTGAGTACTGTATGGGTAGATGGGTTTAGGTTTTTTTGGTTTAGGTTTTAGGGTTTGGCTCTGATACCAAGATAAATTTCAAAAAATACCAGATTAGGGAATGATTAGGATATCAACCCCCATTTATATTGATAAAGATTAATAATTACAAGGGATCCCTAAAGCATAGAATAATTACAAAATAATAACCCAACTGATATTATTCTAACAAAATCATGTACATATATTGGATATTTTGGTACTAAATGCTATTAAAAGTTGTATTATGCCATTTTCAATAGAAAGATTGAAATAAAAAGTAAAAAATCTGTCAGACTCGATAGTTGCAAAAATTGCATGAATTGTAAAAAGGGAATCGAATCATTAATCGATTGTGAATCGTGCGATTCACTGGAGATTCACTTCCAAAATAAATTTACCCATAGATTCTTATCGATTTTGCAAAAATTGTGAATTGAATCGCAAATCGAATCACGGATCGTAAGATTCTGATAACAGAGATTGTATGTGCATAAACCCAAGAAAGTTTGTCAGATTGTTGTGAAATTTCTTGCTTTATCTAGAATCTAGTATTCAACGTTCATCATATGGTATATAACCAATATTACATATATGTCTTGTTTGTAGGATGCAGATGCATCCGCTAGAAAAGCTGAAGCTGAAAGGAAACGTGCAGAGGATATAGCTGCAGGGGTAGTGCAGATGAATGGCAGGGAGCTTTTTGCACATGAACCTTGGGTTTTTGACAATTCTCTTTATTGAGGGTTGGCTTTTGTAGAATGCATTTTGCTCACTAGATTTTCTTGTCAACAAACTTCACTTCTTGAACATAACAATTCATTCATGCTTCTTTATATAGTTTATTGTAGAAAGTGACTTGTTTCTTAGAATTTTCTTGTTTTCTTTTTTGCAAGTTTGCTGTAAATCTGAAAGAAAGCGAGCTGCTATGGCATCAGAGGACAAACGTGTGTAAAAAGGCATATTTTTCTGTTTTATAGCTGCCCAATCGTCCTTTTAAGTTGAGAGTATATTTACTGAATGGTAACACTAATTCTGTTTATTTATTTTAAATGATGGTTTGCCTGCTTGGAGCTGCTTTAATTAATCAAATCATGCTCAAATTTTGTTGATATATATTTCTTCAGCTTTTGATGCAAATTGACATTTCATTTTGTATATTATATGCACTACTGCACAAGGACACCAGCTAAGTGGCGGAATTCAACCAACTGGAATAGAATATTGACAAAAATGATATATCGCTGCTTAAAAAATATGGATATATTGCAAAATATTGATATTAATTCAGATGAATTGGTGGAAAGTAATGTTGTAAATATTGTGGATAATATCAACATATTGAGATATTTAAAATATATGGATGGATATATTGCAATTAGATGGAGATAATTCCTTGGCAGTCTTGCACAGCAATATTATAATGTAACTCTATCAACATGAACATGGTTAATAACCGCAGCATGGCCCCTTCTGTAAGTGCAGACATACAAACATCCTACCAATGTTTGGGCAAACCCTTAAGACAACTAGCTAGTACACATGATTGTTGCTTTGTACATGTCCTTATACTATAAACATCTTCTTTCATGTTAGCTGCTTTATACATGATTTTTTCTTGTTCATATTTTGTCTGGGGACATAAAGCTAGCTTGTTGGTTCTTGCTTCCATTGTCACAAGTCACGGAAACCCCTTCTCCAATATGCTCTTATCAGATGTTGAAATTTTGTTTAGTAAATGCACTGTTAACGCTCATAGTTAGTGGCTGTGGTATGTGGTTGTTCAAGTGAGCTGTTCGATGCAGTCTCTACCTGATCACTTCGTGTCGCCACCATGACCGGCTCCTCCATCCCATGCTGGTGTCAAAATATAAGCATAAATCTGACTTTTAGCACAAAATAAACAACAATTATGCATTATGCACACAGGCATCATGAATAGACCAAATACATTAGTGTGTTAGGGGATAAACTACCAAAAGGTCTTAATAGTTAGACTTAATTTCTATTAAGTCTTATTGAAAATTAGTCCTATTAAAATCGTCGCTAAAAATAATTTTTTGTGGTGATTTTTTACATATGTCGTTAAAAATTAATAATTAGTAACTTTATTTTGTCAAGATTTTTATAAATTGTCGCTAAAACTTACAAAGTCACGTTTTTCTGGAACGAATTTTTCAAATTATCGCTGAAAGTTGAAAATTAGTGACCTGTTTGTGATGATTATTTTTAAACTGTCACTGCAACTTAGAAATAGTAATGTTTTTTGTGACAATTTTCAAACTGTCGTTGAAAATTAACAATCAGTGAGGTTTTTTAATAGTGTTTAATAAAAAATGCAGCTAACTATCACAGGATTTATTAGACAATAAGTCTACCTCTTAGGATCTATATGTCAATGCCCCCTAGTGTTAATGTTCATCACTAGGTTGCTCCCGAGACAAATAATGTTCATTTATGTGTTGCATTTAAAATGGGTATATATATATATTCATCTCTATCGGACTTCTTTTGAATTAATATATTTGCTTATATTTATCACTATTGAAATTTTCAAATAAATGATGTTAAAATGGGTTTAGGTAAGAAAGAAATGAACCTGAATTGGAGAAAATAGGTCTGTTGTTGGCATAGAGTTGGGGTCTGTTGAAGCATAGGCATGGTGCCATGCTGGAAGGTTCTCAATATCTGATTGGTCAACGCGGCACTCCCACATGCCTTGTGGATCCATTTGTGAGCTTGACCCTTGCAGCATTGGCTCATACACTGCATTTGAAGCATCTCTAAAACAGAAAATATATGTATATATATATATATAAACCATCAGTTAATATAGTACTGTTGTCAGAGGTCCTATAATAGCTTGATTGGCCCTAAAAGGACTTACAGAGATCTAAGAATTTAAGAACCTAATTAGGAAATTTGTCAAACCTTATCTGATCCAATCGGATACAAATCCAATGGAATGGTTAGAAGATTAATCCAAATATCAAAAATTCGATCAGATATCGGAAATTCAATCCATTCGCAAGCAGACTATCAAGTAAGAGTATGGTCTAATAATAATTGCAATTGATTTGGCTTATAATAATTGATGGATGTTCTTTCTTTCTTTCTTTTTCTTCCATTTATGTATTGTGAATTGGAGTAAACTGCTGCTATATATATTGCCACTATTGCTACATACCTGAGGGGAATAAAAGGAACAGATGCATCGAACATTTGGGCATGGTTGTTCTGGCCATTATCTGGCAACAAACCGTCAACGACGGTGTTCTCACAAAATATTGGCATCTGTTGTTGCTGCTGCAGCATCTCCTGTAGTATGCTAATTTTATAGCTAGTAATCGAATAATATGCGCACAAAGCACTTGTGAAAGTTTACTTATCACGAGAAAAGAGCTATCTTGTGTTATTCTGTTAATTACCTGCATACAAGATTGATTATAAGAAGAAGATGATGCTTGGTTGTTTAACAAATATTCCTGCATTAAAAATAAAAACTCAGCAGCAACAAGAACATTCCATTTAAACTTTTTTAATTAAATTAAACAACTGTAATTAGAGAGTTAATCAAATTAAGTGAAGGATTTATATACCTTTTTCTCTGTGACGGTAGTCAAGATGTGTTCAAGTTTTTTCTTGCACGACTCAAGCTCCTCCAGAGACGTCAAATTTGATGGATCAGGCTTGAAAATACTGCATTTGAGTTTTAGAATGAGAAATGTGTAAAGCCATTTTGATGTGATAAATTACAAAGAAAATTAAATAATAAAAAAATTGTTTTATTTAATTTTATAATTTCCCAGTCTCGGTGGCAAAAAGTTGTGAAGATGAGTTTTGACAATTCTTTTTCATTTTGTTTCTTTTTCTCTCTTGATTCCAGTTGCTTCTTTTTTTTCCTCAAAGAGATTGGATTAGTGAATGGATAACCTTAATTGCTCCTCAGCAGTCTCAAGTTGTTGATGTAAAATGCCAATTTCCTGTACACGCTGTTTGAAATATAAGAGGACTATACTATTTGTTGAACTTAGAATCCTTGAGACCAATATTTGTTTGTCATCAAGGTTACTTTTGCAAATGAAAAAAAGAGAAGAAAATAAAAAGAAAAATACTGTACAGTAATTCTCTTGCCTCAATTAACTCAATGTCCGACTTCATGGCTCCTTGACTGAATCAAAGGATTATTATTGAACCACATATCCACAAAAAAAAATAAAATAAAAAAAATAAAATAAAATTGGGTGATTAAGAAACAAATTAATTTTTAAGATTTTTGTTATCGCAAATAAATTATTAAGAAATAATGAATACCCATAATTTGCAAAAATGACATTATCTCCTCAATTCAATTCAGTGGAAGAATAATTAACCCTTGAGATATGTTTAGATCTTGAATTTGTTAATGAAGTCATTGTTGGAAAATTTGAATTTAATTTACTTCATTGGTTGTGTCTCTTGAGATCAAAGAGTGTGTCCTTTTGAAGGATCACAACCTTTCTGAAGAGTTGAAAATATAATTATTTATACATATATATATTTTTTTTCATTAATTAAACAAACAAAAAAAAATGTATTTTGTTTACTAGAATTTATTCATTTTCTTAACCCAATCAAAAAAGATTACTTAAAAGATTTAACATCTTTTGATTCATATCTACAAATCCTTGTATCACCCCCATTCTGGGTATGAAAGAGAGAGGCAGACAAACTTGGTTTGATGAAGAGCAACTTCATTTTCAATCCAGAGTTGATTCAGTGTGCTGATCAAAAACTGCATGAGTTCACAATAGTTGCGTTAAAAGTAGGATTGCAAATTAATAGAGTCGTTCATGAACAGATTTGAGTTCGGCTCGATAAGAGATTCTTCGAATTCAGTTCGTTATTTTATTTTTTTTTAATTTTTATTTTTTGCGTTCGAGCAGCTCAAACATTCTGAAACTCGGCTCGTTTAATATTTATTATTTATATATTAAACAATGTAAAAATATGTATAAAAAATAAAATAAATATGTTATTAATATATTTAAAAAATATATTGATAGTACATTTATATAATAGTGGTAGTAAATATTATTATTTTAGTAAAATATTGACTTGTTTTTTAGTATGTTTATATATGTTGTATATATAAATGTATAATCAAAATTTTAATTATAATTTTAGTCTCATACGCAAGTATAAATTTATAAAAATTTTGGTTTGTTAAGGATCATAAATAAGCGCAAACTCGAGTCAAATCTAAGCCAACTTAATTTGAGTTCGGTTCGTTAAATTTTTATTGAGCTTAAGCTCAAGCAAGAATTTATTAAAATCTTAATGAATAAATCTAAATATACTAAAGTTCAGGTCGGTTCGATTCGTTTGCAGCCCTAATTAAAAGTAGTTAAAAAAACAAAACCGCACATAATATTTGCTCGAACCTATGTGGATAAATTTATTTTTAATCTTTACCCCCGCCCCCCTCATATTGGCCCAATAAAAGGAAAATAAACAAAATTATTAATATGGTAGAATTCAATTTTGTGTTCAATTTACTGGGCTTGGGATCTTTAAATCCAAAATTATTTGTCCCAATGCATTTTGAACTACATTCATTTGATATGAGCTATTTTGACTAAATTAATCAATAAAGACAAAACATGTTAATTTAATTAATAAGACAAAATATCACGTTTAAACTATAATTATTTTATTTTTTTCTCTCATAATCATCAAATCAACTACAAAAAAGATCAAAAAATAAAATAAAATAAAATTCAAACATACCTTTTTTAACCAAGCTAAAATAATTAAAAAATAAAGCTAAATTAGTGTGATAAAAATCTCGAGACATGAAAATCTCAAACACGATTATGTGGCTAAAGTGTACTAGGACATAGAGACCGCAACTATTGATTCAAGGATAGTGCAATATCACATGACTTACACACTATCTTACCTCTCTACTTCCAAGTATAGTGCAAGAACTGCAAAAAATTAATAACAATAATAATTAATTAATTGATTGATAAACATAAATAGTAATAACTCACAAACCAATGAGTACTCTGTTTTCTTTCTCGTTTTCTCAGTATACGAAATGAGTGATTGTTATAATTAATTTTAACTTAGAATAATGGTGGATTGATTACATACCAGTCTATGTCTTTGCGTGGGGAAGAAGATGTAGCACTGCACAAATAACCATTATGATTATGACAACAAGTCACTCAGAGAAAACTTTAAATCAATTCAATTAGTGAGAAAGAGAAATTTAAGAGAATACCTTGACATTTCTCGATCAGAAAGATTTATGAAACGAGTAAACACATCTTCAAGCCTGATTTTCAATAATCATAAAATGAGTAATATTAGTAAACTAAGTGGTTTGTTTTTGAATAACATATTACACAAAGAACATATATATGAATTGAAAATATGTGACAAAAATAACATAAAAATGTCAAAACATGCATGTGAATTGAAAATATATATGCCATATATGATGTTACCAGCACCTACCTTGTTTTAGGGGAGGAGAAGTGAGTGAGACGAGCAGAAGGAGAGAACATAATAAGAGCAACATCGATGTCACACAGCACAGATAGTTCATAGGCCTTCTTGATGAGTCCATTCCCACGCTTCGAAAACGTGACTTGTTTATTTGTGTTGTTTTCTATTCTCTTTATTTCTAATTTTACCCGACCCATTTCCAATCCCTCCTATATATCCATTCCCATCAAAACTACAACCTCAAAGAAGTGGTGTTGTTTATATATAGAAAGAGAGAGAGAGAGAGAGCAGTTCAAGGTTGAGATTGATTTAGCAGCAATGTTAGGTATCATAAAAAACCTTTCATGAAAATAATTATGAAAGTTTTGTGACATTTAGATTACACTTAGAATAAAGCACCACATACTAATTAAGGTAATCTAAGAATTATAAACCTTTTCATGATTATTTTCATGAATTTTTTTTTTATAATTCCTAACTTTTCTCTTGATTTAGTGGTTAACGTATCTTTAACATTTAACATTGGTTGATTGGCATGTTTGGTTCTCATTGGTTCAATGGCCCGGCAATTTAACCCCACTCAACAATTATTGGGTTCAAGTCATGACATCCAACTCCCCTTCTCGCATAGAGATATGTTCTAGCACTGAAATAAAAAATAAATAAGGTTAAGTTTGGTAATTCTTAAAAAATTTAAAAAGTTAAAAAATCACAATTTTATTTAAGTCACATCATCTTATTTAAGTCACATCACTTCTCTAACACATCACTTCAAACTCAACCCATATTTTATAAAAATTCAAAAAGTACACTTATTTAGATCATCCCAAACAGCTCCTAAATAAATAAATGATATACAATGTGCTTGTTTGGTGCAGCTTAAAAGCTGCTTATTTCAGCTTTCAGCTTAATTTAAGTTATTTTGATGTGTTTGGTTTAGCTTAACAATGCAGTTTATAGCTTTTTGTAAGTCAGAAATCAGCTTATTCTTTGAGTAGAGTAGGAGATGCTTAATTTATAAGTCAGAAATCAACTTATATTCATAGTTATAAGCTATAAGCTGTTAAGGTATAAGTTATAAACACTTTCCCACAACTTTACCAAATAGGGCCAATATCTATGGTCAATTTGAGGACAAAAACAATTTTCTAAATTAGTAATTTTGTCATATAAGTTCCTACCCAACAATGTTGCCTTCCCAATGTTGGCTTGGCACCGCCCAGCAGGACAACTATCTTGGTGGGTAATGCTAAAGTTGTATAGTATAATTTATTATTATATAGGAGAATAGTTTTTTTTTTTTTTTTTCCTGAATATTGTGTTAAATAAAAATTTATAACAAACGATAGTTGTAATACCTAATATTATATGGCCGATTTATATTTTAAACAAACTTTATAAGTGTATTTATAATTTGTTAAAAAATAAAATATTTATGTTTCATAATTAACTAAGAATATTTGTATAATTACGAAAAAACGTATTTTATAAATGACTAAGAATATTTGCGTAAGGCCACCCTTAATAAATTATTCAAAATAAAAGGATAAAATTTAAAAAAAAAAAAAAAATCTTAAATGGATAAACGATTATATATAGATATCAACGTCTCGATTATACAACCAAGGCAACAATGTCATATATTCACCAAAATTAGTTCAAGATTCAATGCTACCACATTTTAAACAAATTTTATAAGTGTATTTATAATTTGTTAAAAAATAAAATATTTATGTTTCATAATTAACCAAGAATATTTGTGTAATTACGAAAAAACGTATTTCATAAATGACCAAGAATATTTGCGTAAGGCCACCCTTAATAAATTATTCAAAATAAAAGGATAAAAATTAAAAAAAAAAAAATCTTGAATGGATAAACGATTATATATAGATATCAACGTCTCGATTATACAACCAAGGCAACAATGTCATATATTCACCAAAATTAGTTCAAGATTCAATGCTACCACAGGTCCATAGTCATGAACTTAGTGTATAAAGTGATCTAGTTTTTGGACTATATTGAACCTTTAGGGCCTGTTTGTTTTGGATGATTGAGGAGTGGATTGAACTAGGATAGATGTGGTATCCATTATAACCGTGTTTGTTTTTATATCATTAGAACTATGATAGTCCGTGGAAGAGGAGATTAGCAAATGCTTCCTAAGATTGAGTTTCAAAACTGGTAAGGGAATTAACTTGGAAAAAGATTATTTTGCCCATGTTGTGTATTGTGTATGTGTGATTTTTTTTTTTTTTTTTTGTGGCTATTATGTCATTATATATATCAAAATGATATAGTACAAAAAAAATTTATAAAATATAAAATTTTAATATTACAATATATTAAAAACACCAAAGAGTATTTATGACATTTCATGTAATTAATTTCCTCTGTAAAATATATCACAAATAAATATAATTTTTTTTAATTCCATCATTAATAATTTTTATACTAATAATCATCTCATTAACAATCTCACTTAACCCTAACTCCGAAAACAACGAGAGCCTACTGTTTTCATATCCAGCTACATTAATATTTCGGCTGCATATAAGTCCAAAATAAATGAAAATATACAAATAGTCTCAATAAACTGTACGGGCCGTTCAATATCTTTAGGGCAAAGATAAAGGCCTGTTGGGTCTCATAATAGCCCACCTTGTTAGACCTTCGAAATCGCGTTCAGATCCTCAACACTAATTTCTATGTTTCTATTACATTATGGACTCTAGAGTTGAACAGATTTAATTATAATTATCAGAATTTCAGTCTGGTTTGTAAGTTTTTACAATTTCAATTGTGCCAAATAATCCAGATTACATTAGGATCTTAAATTTAATAAGATTTTACAGTTATTACGATCCTATTTATAAAATCGTGTAGAATCGCATACGATTTCGATTCTATTACGATCTCGATCCTAACAATTTTTTTTGTTGTTATTTATTTCTTATATATATGTATGTATATGTATATATCTATATAAAAAATTTGATTCTAAATACCCTTTTTCAAATATCTCTTCTAATTGATGTTAACATAAAAGTTGAATTTGGGAAGTGAGTTGGCTTTTTGACTTTTTTGGCTATTTTAGCCTAGGCTAAAAAGCTTGGTTTGGGAAGGGTTTTTTGACTTTTTGGTTTTTTTGACTTTTTTTTGTAAGAAAAGAGTGTAATGATTATGGGTTGAATGTGATGTTTTGTTTGTTGTGACTAAAATAACTTATTTTGTCTTTTGTAGCTATTTTAGCCACAAATCTTCTTCCCAAACGGACCCCAAATTTATCATTTTTTTAATATTTTTAAAATTACGTAATATATGTTATCATTATTGATAATTTTTCATTTTATTTTACATTGAAAGTATAATCTTACGATTCTCGATTCGATTTTATAATCCGATCTACGAGTCCCTTCTAACGATCCTATGCAGGATTCCAATTTTAACAACCTTGAATTTAACTATTGAAAATCAACCAACAAACCAATCAATCACAAAAAAACGTTTGACTTACCATTGAATAAACTCAACTCAAATCGAACTGAATAAACTCAGATGTCTTGAAAAATTCAGCGAAGACAATGACGAGATGTCACGACCCAAACCCGCCCCTATGGGTTGAGCGTCTTAACCGGCCAGTAATTTGTGATTACCAAAGGTCTTCCTGTACAAATCAAAAAAATAGTCGGGGCTAATGGAAACAATATTCAAAAACACCAATAGTCCAATGAACTATGCATTTATATGAATAAATATTTACATGCAAAAACGTTAATTTATCCACTTTCAATACATAACTTATAATTTAACATCTCATACGTAACATATGCACATAACAAAAGTATACTTCACAATCAAAAGCTTGACAACGGCCTTCTTGGTCTAGCCTTAACTCTGAGGCACTCAAAACCACGTGGTAGGCTTCAAAACGGTGACTCGGCTGAAGACTTCTTCTAGACTTACCCTCCAGAATGCTCACCTATATATATATATATATAAATAGTGAGTTAAAACCCAGTGAATAACATTAAAGTAAAGGGGTTAGTGAACGAATTCCAAGTATATCATATCCGTAAAACAAATCATGACACAATCATTCATATCAGTCTCGTATCAGAACATAACATAATGGTACATCTCACAGAACATATCACATATCGTCTTCTGACTAGAGTAATTAGTTTCGGATATCGATTAAACACATATCACCACAATGAAGTGGCTAACGAGATCTTGTATCACATATATGTCATGGACTCGCATTTATATGTCGTCCCCTATGACTTGGGACTATTTGTGGATGCCATAATAAATTTGCAAATAGGACATTCGTTCACATGATCAAAACAACATTTCAAAAATTGAAAAATGACTTAGACCCCTAGCTGGGGGTGCTGGGGGTCGTCCCTGATTGGTGCAAAAACAGTTTTTTTTTTTTTTTTTGGATTTCAGCCAACCACACGCTGCCACGTCACTGGGGTGCCACTGGGGGTTGGAAGCAATGCCCTCAAAAATTATAATTTATCGATAACGGTTAAAACATGAGTCATATCAACATATCTTTACAAAAATTTTACTTACAGTGAGCTTCCAGAACAGTTGGTCAAGTAGTCTTTGACTCGTGATCTACAATCACAAATATATATAGCACGATACATAATCATCTTAAACATATTTAGTTCACTTAAGATCTTAAATATAGATGACTAGAATTATGAATTAATTATATTATTAATTTCCTTTGACCTCTAATTAAAAAATGTTTAGCCATGCATTAATCAAATAAATTAAATATAAAGACTCTAATCATATACAAACCCTTATTAAGTTCACTAGTTACACAAATTAAACTTAAATTAGACTCATACACATTAAATTACAATTATTCAGTCATGTTTAAATTACTGAGGCCTTGTTTGTCATGTACTAAAAAAAGCTAAAAAGTCAAAAAAGTCACTATCCTATTTAAGTCACATTACCTTATTTAAGTCAGATTACCTCTCTACCACATCACTTCAAACCTAACCCAAATTCAACTCATATTTCATAAAAAGTAAAAAAGTACACTTATTTAGAATATCCCAAACCACCCCTGAATTAGAAACTCATATGCATATAAATTTCGCAATTTAACTTCAATTTCAACCATATCAAGGCCCAAAACCTTCCATAAACATGTTGAATTTACCATCTATAGC